CCTCTCATTACGGACTGTCGGGCGGGTCAGTGCGGCTGCGTTTTCCGCGGTTCCAAAGTCTTTCTGCACCAGTTGTTGAAGCGATCAAATGACATAACAGCATTATATCCTTCGTATTACTCGTTTTCTACCACTTTTTGTCGCATACGCGCTTCAAAGAAAAGGCTGAGAACGGCTTCAAACAGTGTGCGCACTCCTTCTGGCCGATACGCCCCGACAGTCCGTAATGATGAGGAGTATAAGTGTGGTTATATGCGTACTTCCATTCTTTTTTTTGTCGGTCATACTCTTCCACACGATACAGTCGTATCCTTTGCACTTGATAGGGGGCGTGTCGGCGAGAAGGAGCGTGCACACTGTTTGAAGCCTTCTCAGCCTTTTCGTTGAAACGCGTATGCGACAAAAAGTGATAGAAAACGAGTAACACGAAGGATATAATACAGTAATGTCACTTCCTGGTTCAACGATTGGTGCAGTACGGGTGCGGGCGACCGCGCCGCACGCAGCCGCACTGAGACATTTGACTATCAGTTGGCAAGGATACGAACTGTAGCCTCCTCGACAGGATTATTTTCCGATGAAAATGAGTAATGATTTCTTACGCTAAAGCCTCAGCCTTAACACAGGGTGGACAGTCAATGCAGGGACTACCTTGCCACATGTCCTCTGCCCACCGACTACTTTGACTCGATTTGCATAAGATGCAACGTTCTCTAAGGTAAGCATCAACTCAGCAAAATCTTACAGGTTCCCGAGTCCTGGATTCATTCCTTTTATCTGGCGATAACGTTGCGTCGTCTCTTGCAGAGGTATGATGAACGGTTGGCGACCATCCGACGCGAACACTTGTCGAGCATCCTCTGCAGAAAGAAGTGAATCAGCTCATAGAGATTTGGAATGAAATTACTTTTACAACTTTCTCATAATTGTTTGAGACCAAATGCTTAGGTTTTTGAGGGAATAGTGAGTTACGGCAGCAACTGACTGAGGAGCGTGGAATACTCACACTGAACTAATCATCTTATTTAGGTCCTCAAAAAGGTTCTTCAACTTCCTCTCCAGAATTTTCCGAAGTGTGCCCTGGGCCAAAGAAACCTGTCTCTTCCGAATGCGAATCACAATTTCTTTAAGGACAGCAGGTCTTCCTTCCAGTGTGTCTTTCGTATATCAGGTAGAACTTGTCTCCTTGCCTAATCCGTATTTTATGTTTTTGTTATAATACCCTCTGTTTAAGGCGACAATTTCCGCTCCTAAAGTTATCACAAGAGTGCTGAGCTACGGTACCATCTATGAAGAGAAAATGCCAAAGGGAACGTTGGAAACGCATTCGTCAGGCCTCCTCTAGCCAACAACTGTAGAGGTAAAAGACCGAAAAGACCGCGCGCTGGGACATTCCCGTCGGCTGATTCCCAGTAATGAACCCTATGACTCTACAAGAGACATTGAATGCATCCACTCCATGATACTTGCCCGGGAGCATTACTTTTGGCTGGAAGGCCGACTTTGGAGGCGGAGTCACTGGAAAAAGGGATGTACCACTGAAGCAACTTTGCGCCTTAATCCCTTTACCGTACAACTTTCCGCCGCGAAACTGGCACAGGGTTGTCCACTCCGGACCGCACTACCTTCCCACATAACCTCTTGCATTTTCATAGGTCATCGCGGACCGCTCCTTCAAGGCATGATTCCAACTGGAACTGAATCCCTTTCCATTCTCGCCGGATGAACATGATATGCATTGCACTACCTTCTACATTCTATGGCATATAAAGGACATTACATGAGGGAGAATCCGGGGACGGGGCTGATCCCAGAGAGCCGTCTGCACTACTCCGCTCGCGCTATCTTCAATGAGCAGCACTTGCGCCAATCGCATAGGTTTGCAGCGCAGTAAGCACTCAGCGCTAGAGAACAACCAGAAATGAGAGGATGCAGACAAGTAGCGATTCGGGACCATGGTTATCGTTGTGCGTGGTACAGATTGGATGGTAGGGACAATTTAAGACGCACCCAGGTTATACCTGCCTATCCAGATCGCCTCCCTGTGTATGTTTTAAACGGAAAGAAAAGAGACTTGCTACCTGCAGCATACTGTCGTACCTGGATCGAAGACGTGCACCACTGCTCCTCGACCAAAACCCTGCTCGACTTTGACGATTGATCCATATCGAGCATGCAAGTAGACTAGCCAGTCAAAATAGTTGGCTATTGAACGCTTACCTAAACTTCTTTTTGGATCTTCACAGCATCAGGCTTTACTCATGATTACCTCTCTGAACTCACTCCTAAAAAGCGATCTGTTTTTTTTCCCAAAAAGCCTCGCAAAGACATTTGGCCCTGGAATTTCTTTAAATGTGCGTGTTTTGGTTGCCAGCCCTGCAGCGGCTGTGGAGGCGCTGACTGGACATGTGCTTGAGGACGTTAGCGATGATGCGGCGAGCAACTGCACATCGTTTCATATTCTGAATGAAGAATGTAGGGAAAAGGAGTGTGTGCGCTCCATATCGTAGGGATGACCAGGGCGTGGCTGGATACTCCGTATGTACGCGGTGCAGAGTACGTTTTTTGTAGGACATTACTTTTGCGACACCTTCTGCTATTGTGGACAAGGACATGGTTATAGTCCTCTCAAAGCGGCAATATTCCACCAAAAGCGCAGCCAACGCAATTGACGTACGCAAC